TCTAAGAGGAGCATTTTCCAGATATAAGTTCTCTTTCACCTTAGAAAGTTATGAAACACATAAGTTTTCAAATGATCTAAGATACTGCACTTTAAATGACTTTCCCTCCTCCCCAAAGAGTTCTGAAAACTTTCCACATCTGTCAAATATTTCTGAGGATTAAGAAACATAGTCACTCTAATTAAACAGTTTGTGCAAGGCAGTTTTGAAATCTATTAATAGTTAGTATGGCTTTCAAACTAAAAATTAAAAACAAATTACTACTCCCTCAACATCTCACTTAGTTTTAAAAGGACCCTCTAGAAACTGTACATTAAGAAATGATATAAAGTTCCACCTACAAAATAACAAAGAAAAACTCAGTTAGCAAATATTACCACTTCAGAGCAGGAATTATCTTTTATGAAGAAATGAAATGCGAGAAGTAAACACTTTTTGCAAACTATAAGGTTGGTGCCACATAAAGAGAATACAATATCACTTATTATTTTCTGAATTTTAGGCACATTGTTTATGGACACATAAATATCTGTGTCCCAGTAAAATGGAGCATGGTGTCTTCTCAATTTTACCTGATAACTGTTTTTTTTTTTTAGATACTTATAAAAGGGTCCTTTTGAAGATAGTAACAAAACACAGGACTGACACAGCTAAAATTAGCCGGTTTGTGGATATTCAAGAATGTTTCCCAAGTTAGACTGAGTAACGAAACAGGAGCTCAGTAGAAAGAGGCACGCTAACTAATCTGTTCCCACGTGTCCTAGTAAATGTGGCCTGAGGGTCTTTCATAATGGAGGTGACGGTTCATATCTCGATGTCCCCCAAAGCCTAGGACACCCAGAGGTGGGGCTCTGGCAGGTGATCAGATGGTGGGAGTGCGGTATTCACTGATGAGGTTACAGCTCAGTGTGATGTTGGGATGCAAAGCCTGGTAGGAGGAGGTGATCACCGGGATGTGGCCTGGAAGCTCTATGTCTCTGCCTTCTCGCTTCACCCCTCTCGACTTCCTGCCTGCCACACCCTGAGCCACTTCTCCTCTGCCATGACTCTCTGCCTTGCTGCCCTGGCCTGGAGCCAGCCCACTATGGACTTGGGGCCTCTCCAAGCTGGTTGACAAAGTAAACCTCTCCTGCTCTGACTTGTGTCAGGTATCCCGTCTCAGTGATGAGGAAGATAGGAGGTCTCCCTGTTAGTGCGTAACTTGTCTATGTGGTGGCGTTCCAGGAGCCTAGAGCGCATCTCCACGCAGTGCTCCGAGGCTCAGGGACAGGAGGACACGACAGACACACTTATTTGGCACCCAGTGTATGCAGACAGTCCTGTGCCAGGACCTGGGTGGGCACGTGAGAGAGAGGATCTCTCCCTGTCTTCCAGCAGCTGCCAAGGGCAAACGTGAGCACACGAGAGTCATATAGTCTAACAGCTGGAAACCGATGCAGCACTGGTACAGGCAGCTCAGGCAGAGGCAGTCAGGGCGCGGCCCTGGAAGGAGCCGGTGCAGAAGAGATGCCTTGCACTGTGGGGGAGAAGGCACCTCCTCTGAGGGCCAGGCCTCAAGACAAAAGATAAAACAAATGCACCCACACACTTCCTAAGCATACACATCAGGGGTTGCTATTCTATTTTTTTTTTTTTTTTTTTTCTTTTTGAGACAGGGTCTTGATATGCAGCTCATGCTGGCCTTGAGCTCACTTTGTAGCCCAGGCTGGTCTCGAACTTGCACGATTCTGCTGCCTCAGCCTCCCGAGTGCTGGGATTACAGACATGAGCCACCACGCCCAGCCTAGGGGTTGCTATTCTAAATAGGTATCCATCACCTTGAGAAATCCAAGAACCGCAACTAACCCAATCCTCTGCAGGAGAAGCCCTTGTTCTGTATTCATGCCCACTTGCTATGTGACTTGATTGATCCCAGTTTAATCAATTTTATCTGAGCAGTTATACTCATAATCTTATTGGCTGACCATAGTTTGGTCCCACCTCATGCCACCTTCCGATTTCCTGTTTTTCCCACCTTGGACTTACCTCACCTTGTGGATTTGCTCTATGCAAATCCCTAGAAAAGGCAGGTCCTCGGCAACCCATTCGGGAGCCCTTCTGCCCGTCTCTCTCTGACAGAAGCTTTCTTTCCCCAATAAATGCATTCTGCTCTTAACCTCCGTTGTTCCTAAAATTCTTCTTCGATTTTCGAGAACACGAACTCGTGCTGGACATCTAGCCGGTTGGGAGATTCTTTCCCCTACATCAACATCAGGACTGGTCAGAATGCGGGGATGGAGTGATGTGACAAACACCACAGAGAGGATACCCAGTCTCTCCTTCAGCTCCTCCTCTTCAAGATCGTGTCCACTGTGTGTGTAAACTCCTTGCCACCTGCTCTCAGATGCCCACCGCTGTCATCTGCCATGCAGCCCCGGCAGCTCTTACCTGTGTCTGCTGAGGCACTGTCCCGGTGGCTGGTTCAGGGCCCCCCCCCTCCCACACACACACCCTCTCTCTCGCTCTCACACACACACACACACATGCCCATGAATTCTTATTATATCACTAATATAATCACATGCTGATACCAAGCACAGCTTAGGAAGCCCCTATCTAGTCCACTTATTTCACAATTACAGATCTACACTCTTCCTTCAAAGCCCACCCTGCTTTGCAAACTCATTTCCATCTTCATCTGTCTGTTAGGAAGTCCTATCTCATATCTAACTCCAGATTCTCATGTGGAACCCCAAGCTCCTTCTCCTCCAAGTTTGCCTCCGAAGAACAGAGACTTCTTGCCTGGATGCAAATAATTGATCAGTACCTGCAAGGTGTGACAGGTGGTTTTGGTGTTTCTGCAACAGCAAGCAGAAACACCAGAACAGCACCCAGGATTTGGAGGCAGGTTTATTTACGTCAGTGGGCACTGATCAGGATCACTCCAACTATCAGGCCCTGGTGGTCTAGGGCTTTTGTGGGATAAGCAAGCAGGAAGTACAGAAGCAGAACGGCTTGCCAGTTGAGGACTGGCTTATGCAGTGTGCATCCCAGTGAGCAGCTGTTTCTAAGAGACAGAAGCAAGCAGAACTGAACAGCAACTATTACACGGGCAACTACAAAACTGAAGTTTACCGGCTGGGGCAGGGGCCATTTTCTGTTACAGCACGGTCAATTTCTATAGATTTCTCACCTTTTTGATCACTTTTATAGTTCTCTAAATCTCCCAATTCCCTTTATTTTCCTTTGGCTGAGAAAACAAACCAAGCCTGGTCTCACTCAAAACACCAATAAACCCTGCAGAGCAAGAAAGGGCCGAGTCACGGTTCCCACTCACAGCAAGTGTGCTGTGTCTACGCTAGATCAGCTTTACTAAAACCACTCTTAGTTTTAATGGGATCCCTGGGTCCTTTTTCAAGGGAGTGCTGGGAAGCAGGAGGGGGCTGGTGGGGAGCCCACCCACCCAGAACCATGGCTGTGAGCACTCCCCTTAGCCATGCGGCCCGGAGAACCTCTTCTATGACGTTTCCAGGAGTAGATAGGACTTTCCTAGGTTCCCATGGGCTGGAAGCTCCGAAAAGCCCTGGATCCCACTGTTGGGTGCTCCAGGGGTTAACGACTCTTTAGTGAGAGAACCTGAAGTCCTGCTTGTTTTTTTCACTCAGGTGTTTGCTGTGCTTCCTGGACCAGCAAACCCACCAGGGTCCTGGAGGCTTCTGCTGACTTGTGTTCTTGTTTGTTTGGGTTTACTTGGGTATGGAGATGACAGACGTAGGAGTTTTTAGGGGTGATGAGGGGCCTGGGTGGGCATCATCTCCAAGTACTAGAAGGTGCCACTTCAGGGTTGGCGTTTGGGAATGCAGAGCCCCAAGGTTAAAAGTCATCTTTTAGAATGCTGAGTTCACCAGCTGCTTCCAGTAAGACAAAGCGTGTTGCTAAGAATTTGGGTGGGGACTCGGATCTCCACCAGCAGCAAGCCTCCGCTTCTCCTGAGGGCTGTAAGTCAGAAAGCCTGCCTGCCGGGGCCAGAGCAGCCACACCGATCTGGCTGACAGTGCTGGTGCCCCACAGGGAAGCTCAAGGCACACTGGTCTCAGGAGAACCAGAAAGCCAGCGCAACTCTGCTTTATCTCCCAGGGAATAGATTTCTAAAACGCACTTTCTAAGGTAGCCGATCTCTTAAAAACTGAAGAAATATACAAATAAATTTCTCTGAGAGCCAAAAGGAAATTTACAATACCAGCATGTTAAAAGAAAAAGAGTGAGACAGAGAGGAAAAAGTCAAAAGAAAAGAATGAGACACAGATCTGGCATAAGAAGTTGTAGGTTTCTATTGAAGACCTGGTGAGATTTTATGGAAAATTCTGGTGAAATTTTATCGGAGCATATATTTAGTGCTAAAATAAAGATATCTCTCTCTCTCTCTCTCTCTCTCTCTCTCTCTCTCTCTCTCTCTCTCTTTTGTCTTTTTGAGACAGGGTCTCACTCTGCAGTTCAGGCTGGCCTTGAGCTCACTTTGTAGTTCAGCTTGGCCTGGAACTCAAAGCGATCCTCCTGCCTCAGCCTGCCATGTGCAAGGATTGCAGGCACGCACCCAGGAAAGATATTTATAATAAAGATGATGGTTTAACTTTCACCAGAACACTATAACAACAAAGAGGTAATTAATGCAGTCCTTCAGTTTAGCAAAAATTTGGCATTCAGTTTTTGTTCTCAGGGTAGAAGGTACAGTTTGTCTGAGAAAATGGGAAAAGCACACACACACTAAAGGTAGGCAGAATGTCTAGAAAGAGACCATTTCCCCAAGAAAAGCCTATGAAGAAGCCCCTAAGAATTTGTTTCCCCAGACAAGGAAGCTTTTATCCCTTTCTTCTCCCCTAGGTGGCAGTGTGACATACAAAAGAGAGCATTCCAGGCCCCACAAGCTATTTCAGCCTTGGAAACCAGAGGAAGGAAAATTCACCGAGGTGGTACAGAAGCAGAGAAACAGCTGTTTGCAGACAGAGAAGCCTGGTACTCACCGGCTCCACGTCGTAGGAAAAAAGTGCATATTCTCTATCGGGAGATATTTCATATCTGATGGCTTTTAGCGATTCCTAAAAGAAAAAGAAAAAAATTAAAGTACTACATATTATAACTCAGAATCTTGTAGAAAATCTGTATCTGATGAACAAATTAGGAGGTTGCAAGCTAGTAACCATAGCATTCACTAAAATGGCTTGGGCCAGTGATATAGCTCAGTGGCACCGTGCCTGCCTGGCAAACGCAAGGTCCTGAGTTCAATTCCTAGCACCTCCACCAAAAAAGGCTAGATCCTTTCTTTGCTAGCTGCCTGATAACAATTGCTGTTTCCTATTTTATTTGTATTTTTCTGTTTTCAACAAGACAATCTTAATGTTATCTCCTGAAACAAATAAACAGAAAGGTGCACAGAACATTTTTCAACAAGACCCTCAACCTCTCAATATATGTATTTTTTACATTACCATACTTAGAAGCATATAGGAAGCCGAGCTGTTATTAAACAGACTGATATTTTAAAGATCATTTTGCAACTTGTTCGTTCTCCCTTGGGGGTTCCCCTCCAAGTCAGTCTCCAGAGGACTTTTTTTTGTTTTGTTTTGTTTTTATTTTTGTTTTTCTCCGGTACTGGGAACTGAACTCACGACCTTGCGCTTGCCAGGCAGGTGCTTTTGCCGCTGAGCTAAATCCCCAGCCCTCTCCAGAGGACTTGCTACCAATTTAACTGCTGAATTTCTCCTTAGCACACCAGTCATTGTCCCTAAGCAAAACTGCCAGGCGCTCGGCCTGTCTGACTTACCCCGCCCTCTGCACCCAAGCAGGGGCTGTGACTACCCCACCCGCCACAGGGAGCCCTTTTGCCAGCCTGGGGGACATCACTGCATAATGCTCAGATGCCCCTGAGGGGCCAAAGAGAGACAGGGCAATTGAGTGACGTTGCATTTTCCATCTCTGCATCTTAGCCTTCTCATGCAATGGACATGACCCAGGGAAGGTGGGTTGCCTGGATTAGCGATCTTTAAGAATCTGGTAGCACCTTATTTCCCTTTGCATACCTTAATGTACTCAGCCCCCACTACAGGCTGACAGCCTTGTTCTTGGTGACTGTGCTCTTCAAGGTCGCCATAAATGGTGAAAGAGTAAATATTAAACCACTGCTGCCAGGGGAAGGACAGGTCCCGCTTCCTGCAAACCTTTGTGGTTACATCCTATGGACCAATGCCTATAACCTCATCTCATGGGCCTCTCTGTTGAAAGGTGTCTTCCCGGCTGTACAGCACAGCTGCTCTGCCGCTGAACTCTGGGAGACAGCACTCAGCCCAGACACAGCCCGTCTGACGCACACGTGTTCTCCTGCCGCACCTCGCAGGCTTCAAGCACTTAGGGACCTGCGACAGCACTTCAGCGCTTTGCCCAGGGACTCTTCTACACAGCAACGTCTCTCAAGCACATGCATGCATGCTAGCACTCAATGGACTGTGAGAAAGATACAGTAGTTGTTTGCAGAATGAAAGCAGGAGGGAGGAAGCAGGGCAGCGCCCTGGTCCCCAGCTGGGAAACCCAACGCTGGACAGCGCACATGTTCTGCTGCTTTCCCGGAGGACAGCTGTGAAAGTGCTGTGCCGCGTGGGACAGTCAAGTGAGCTGCAGCAAGCAGCAAGCTGCAGAGGCTGCAAGCCCGGCCGTGCGCCTCACGGTGCCTCCTGGCTATCCTGCTGCGCATCGTGCTGTCAGAAGATGCTCGAGTGTGTGTGTGTGTGTGTGTGTGTGTGTGTGTGTGTGTGTAAGACATTTTCATAGGACAGACACCTAAGCCTGGCAGTTACACAGTCTGGGTGAACAAGTTTTTAAAAATGTAAACAGATGTTGCCAAGTCACGTTCCAGAAATGTCACAGGTGTTTGATATTTGATCGTCCTTTCTCCCCCCTCTGAAAGTATAACTAATGTTTTTCTTTGATTTTTTTTTTTGTTGTTGTTGTTGTTTTCTTGTGCTGGGGATACGACCCAGGCCCTTTATACTGAGCTACAACCCTAATCCTTTTTATTTTGAGACAGGGTCTCACTAGGTCACTAAGTGGCTCAGGCTGGGCTTGAATTTGTGATCCTCCTGCTTCAGCTTCCCAGAGTGCTGGGATTACGGGCATGCACTACCGTGTCCAGTTGTCATAAGGTGTGAACCCTGCAGCTTCCACTGATCCTTTGTGTATCCCTGCCCATAGTTACCTAGGATCCTCATTGTTGATGGGGTAGGGAGTGGGGATTTTGTCCTTAGAAACCTGTCTAGCCACATCCCCTTGAAAGTATTTTCTGTGCTCCGACTTCCTTCCTCCTGTTCTTTCTTAGACGCACACCTGTCATGTATCCCCCGCACCGCTCCACCCAAACGGATCTTCTCTAGGTTGCCAAAGTCTTGCTTTGTAAATGCTGTAATTCTTGCTGTCATCCTGCTTGACAGCAAATCCTGTCCTCCTCCTCCACGCCCTGCTCCACACGGCCTCTGCATGCCCGCTGTGCTCCTCCGCCACTCTAGCGGACTTTGCGTGTTCTTCTGTGCGCCTCGCGTTTCCCTGGCCTCTGAGCATTGCAGTGCTGAGATCAGCATTTAAATCACCTGCTGGAGAAAGAGCACTTCTTGCATGACATCGCTGGTCTCACGGCTCTAACCGAGTCTGCCGAGGATCCAAGCTGCACTTTCCTGCCCAGCCACCTGCACCCGCACGAGGCGTGGCCTTGAGCCCCACGCTGTGCATCCACCCGCCTCCTGGCAGCGCCTGCTCACTGGGTGCCCATGGGCCAGCCCCACACGGTGCACAGCCTCTGTGCTTCCTCGTCCTCTTCCCTGTGTGTTTAGAACAGGGGCCCCGGCTCCGGAACCAGTCTGAGGCCTGTTAGCAGCTGGGCTGCATGAAGGGAGGTGAACAGCGGGAGCACAGAGCTTCTTCTGTATTTCTAGCTGCTCCCCACCATCCCGTAGCATCCCTGCCTGAGCTCCGCCTCCTGGTGGATTAGCATCAGCATTGGATTCTCACAGGGGCAGGGACCCTACTGTGAGCTGTGCATGCGGGGGATCTAGGTTGGGCGCTGCTTTATCTTAAAACCATTCCCTTCCCCAGGCCCAAGGCTACGGGAAAATTGTTTCCTATGAAACCGGCCTGTGGTATCAAAAGGGCTGGGGATTGCTCTTCTGGAGCCTTCGTTCCTCCGAGCTTTCTTCTCAGATGCTGCCACCTAGGCGAGGCCTTCCTTGCCCTTTACATGGAGAAAGCAAGTCTGCCTCCAGCCTTCCACAGCGCCGCTCTCCGCTTCGTCTCCCTTCTACAAGATCCTACTGTCTGTGGCTGGTTTTTCTCTTTCTTCTCTCTCCACTTGGATCTTTTCATCGCCCTCTCACACTCTGGAGAAGGAGCAGCGCCTAGGTGAGCAGGAGCGAGGGTGGAGGCTCTTGTGTTTGCGCTGCCCTTGAGGAGAAGCATTCTCCGGTTTCTATCTAGTATAGTATCAGCGGCAGATCTTTATAGAGAAGCCTTGCACCAGGTTGAAGATGTTCCCGTCTGCCTCTGGTTCTCGCAGAGTTCTCGTAATGAACGTGCACTGGAGTTCTGCAAATGTGTTCTCCATGTACTAAGGCGGTTAGGTGGCCTTGCTTTTATTTATCTGTCAGTGTGATAAATTACACCATCTGACCTTTGCTGGGCAAATCAACCCTGGATTCCTGGAATACGCTGTATCCCCCCCTAATGGGCCATGCTGCTCACATCCTGCTGGGTCCATTCCTGTTCTGCGGAGGACCTCTGCACCCACGTTCATGAGAGAAGTCGGTGTGTGGCTTCATTTCCTGGTAATATCCCTGTAGGATTTTAATCTCAGGGTACTGCTGGCCCAAGAAAGGGACTCGGGAAGTATCTCTCTTCCACTTGGCTTGTATTTTGGTCCTCTTATGTTGCTATCACAGGACACCTGGAACCAGGTAATTGATACAGAAGGAATGTGGACGCGGCTCACAGTACTTTATTTATTAAGCTGGGTGGTCCCAGAGCCTGGAGCCTCACCTGCTCCGCATCTGGTGAGAGCCCTGTGCTGGGCCGTACGATGGCAGGGGGCATCGTGTGGAGGGGCAGGGAAAATGCCGTGGCTTGGCTCTTCCTCTTCTTATACAGCCACTCATGCCATGATGGGGCCATAGCCTCAGGACCTCATCCGATCCCAAGTACTGACTGTAGGCCAACTCCCAAACACGTTAGCACAGGAACTGGGGTTTTCTCACACAGGAACACTATTCAACCATAGTGTTGTGTAAGTTTGTGTAGAACCGATGTTATTTTCTCCTGAAATACCTGGTGAGTTGATCAGTAAAGCCATCTGGGCCTTAGTCCCCTACTTATAATTTATATGTACATATTCCTGGTTATATAATGTAGGGCTGTCCTTTTCCGCATCTCCCCTGGGAGCTGTGACGATTTGTGTCTTAGAAGGACTCACACTGTGCGCTCCACCCGCCAGTCACTGAAGCGCTGTCCTCAATGTGTCAGAACGTCACAAGGCCTGTGTGGACCGAGGGTGAGCCGAGTCACTTGGAGAATGGGGCCGAAAGGCTGGGTGAGGATGGAGGGAGCCCTTCAGGGGTTCCTGGGCGTCCCGTCTGCACTGTGCAGAGTATGGGAAGGAGCCCAAGCGGGACACACTGGGAGCTTTAGGAAAATAACCGCAGAGCCCCAACCCTTACTTTATTTAATGACGGGCCCAAAGCTCAAGAGCAGTGACACTGGCATTCGGATGCCACCGAGAAGCTGCAGGGCATCTCCTTTCAGTGACAAGTTGGAAGTTCCTGACTTAACCAAGGCAGGCAGACCATCCCTCATGGCGATCGCTGAGATCTACAGTGAGAGTCCATATCTGCCTGTGAAAGTGTGAAGGAGTCCCTCATGCTCCCTTGGCTGGCACTCCTGAGCCTGAAGTGTGACGCCCATGGCATGCTCGGATGTACAGCGCTGGCAGCCGTGGGCTCAGGCATGCCCGGGGGATGTTGAAGGTGTCCTTTGTGCTAAGAGGAGGCCACTCGGGTGGGGGGGCACC